GTGTGTGTGTGTGTGTGTGAGAGTGCGTGTGAGTGTGTGTGTGTGTGTGTGTGTGTGTGAGTGCGTGTGAGCAGGAGACCAAAAGCAGAAGCCGCTTATAGTTCATAGTTGCTTGATGGCGCTGTGATCAGTAAACAGCTGTGCTGAGATCAGTTTTGATGCTCCAGATTCATCAGAGACATACATCTGTGTGGCTGTTTTTGTTCTAGGTAAATGATAATCAGAATCAGCACAATGTCATTATCATCAGCGCTGTATGGTGAAGCTCATGAAGAAATGTATTGTCATTGTGAACCTTAAAATCAATATACATTTATCCAGGTAAAAGATAAACATCTGGAAATCAGAATATAGTGGGGAAAAAACAAATATATATGTATATACACTACCGTTCAAAAATTTGGGATCAGTAAGATTATAATGTTTTTAATGGAGTCTCTTATGCTCATCAAGGCAAAAATACAGAAAAAACAGCAATATTGTGAAATATTATTGTAATTTCTGATATTGGTTTCCTATTTTAATATATTTTAATATCAAATCTAATATATTTCTGTGATGCGCAGCTGTATTTTCACTCTTATTACTATTATTATTACTCCAGTCTTCAGTGTCACATGATCTTCAGAAATCATAATAATATGCTGATTTATTATCAGTGCTGGAAACAGTTGTGCTGCTTAATATTTTTTTGGAACCTGTGATACTTTTTTCAGGATTCTTTGATGAAAAAAAAGTTAAAAAGAAGAGCAGTTATTCAAAACTCAAATCTTTTCTAACAATAAACGTCTTTACTATCACTTGTAATCCATTTAACACATCCTTGCTGAAAAAAAGTATTAATTAAAAAAAATAAATATATAGAAAGAAAACATTTACTGACCCCAAACTTTTAAATACTAGTGTATGTTGTAACACAAAATTTCTATTTTGAATAAACACTGTTCTTTTTGATATCTAAAGGATCAAGTGACACTGAAGACTGGAGTAATGATGCTGAAAATTCAGATTTGATCACAGAAATAAATTACAGTTTAACAGATATTCACATAGAAAACAGCTGTTTAAATTCTGATAATATTTCACTGTTTTCACTGTACTTTACATCGCATAAATGCAGCCTCGGTGAGCAAAAACATCACAAAATCAATTTTTTGGATTTCTCAGTATCTCAGTACACTCATCCTTAATTCACCAAGTTTAAATTTGTCTTGATTAAATTCTAATGAAGAAAAGCAAGTGCTTGCAAAAGTTAAAACTACAATGACGAAGTGTGCCACGTAAAGCACGAGCTGTTCTCTTCTGGAATCACACAACAGCTGTGGATCAGATGCAGCACTGACCATTCTGGAAAGCTCAGATGTTTGCTGCAAACAGTCGTTTACCAGCGTTACGCCTCAACGCTGATCCCAGATCAGATCCGTCCAGAATCCACTCCCACGCCACCGAAGACTCGCAGCGATCGCAGAAAAACTGCAGCTCCGCTTCGGAAAAAAACTAAACAAGAAACGCTTTCCAAATGTTGGGCTCGACCCAGATCTGCACATCAGAGACGCTGAACTTTAGACCTCGTTTTTAGCGCTCGCTAGGAAAAGAAAAGGCTCGTAGCTGGCAGGCGGGAGACGCAGAGGAACGGGGGGCCCTAAATCCGGACAGAGGGGCCCGTTAAGGGAGGGAAGAGCTGCAGGCGGGGCCTCTCTGCAGAAACACGGTCAGCGCCGGGGATTATGTGAAGAAACACTCCCTACCTGAGCAGCAGAACACAGAACTCACTTCTGAGGACGTTTCAGAGCATCTTATTGTGACAAGCGGAGTGTGCACTTCCGTTAGCAGCGAGATTTCCAGAACGCAGAAAACACAGACTGAATCCAGGCCTCGAAAATGGACTTCAGCAGAGTTATTGGAGTTAACGAAAGCTGAAATTAAAAGCACAGAAAAATATTTATTTATTTGAAATTTAAAACAAAAACAAACAAAACAAAATATATATATATATATATATATATATACTGTATATATGAATTAATATGTTTCAGTTCTTATTTCTCATTTTAATTTAGTTTGCCTTGATGTGCTAAAATAACTCAAACTAAAATAAACAATCACAAAAACTATACAGACTATCAAAAATGACTATCTATCTGTCTGTCTATCTATCTCTCTATCAATTTCTATCTACCCATCCATCTATCTATCTATAAATAATGTCTATCTATCTATCTATCTATCTATCTATCTATCTATCAATAATGTCTATCTATCTATCTATCTATAAATAATGTCTATTTATCTATCTATCGTCTGTCTGTCTATCTATCTATATATCTATAAATAATGTCTATCTATCTATCTATCTATCTTTCTATAACTAATGTCTATCTATCTATCTATCTGTGTACAGTATGTTTCTGTAGATTTAGTTGTTTTACAGTATTTTTTTACTGTATTCTCAATAGCTTTGTACCATGTATGTGGTGTACACACTGATCTATAATAAAACAAGAGCACAAAAAGAAGAAAAAAACAGAATTTAAAATGTCAATGTAATTTGAGTGGTCATTTAAATATTTGAGGTGTGTTGCTGGATATGGTCATGTTCTGTCTGTCTGTCTGTCTGTCTGTCTGTCTGTCTATTCATTCACTTTTTAACACCATGCCAGCATCAAAGCTATTTTCATGGTGATCTCAGAATAAACTACACAAGGCATACAATTAACAAAAAGTTATAAAAGACATTATAAATCTACACTAGACTAAAATTCTAAAATATATTCAGGTGATACGTTTATAAATAAATCAGTTAAACACACCTATAAATAAAGCCATTGTCTAGTTACATTAAAAACAGTATCACTAAATAATTAAATTTTTTTATTCATTTGCTGTTACGTTGCTGTTTGTTTTGTTTTTGAAGTTAGATTAGTTTGTGCTTTGTTAGATGAGTGTTTTGCCATTTATTGTACTTTTATTTTTAGTTTAAAGGAGTTTAATTAGGGCGTCGTATACGCCGAAGATTTCGATTTTATTTTAATTTTTTTCTTTTTTTGTGAGTTTAGAGGTTAGTTATAAGGATTGTTTTTGTTTTGTTTATTTCTTTGATTTGGGTGACACTCCTGTTTTCTTTTTGAAGATCTCAGAATAGCACACTATTTATCAGAAATAACAGGAGCAGTATGCAAGAATGCTAATTCAAATCTGGCTTCAGATATCAAACGGTGAACAAGTCAAGGACAAGCTTCTGCACAAACACAGTTACAAGCGGCACAGATGTTCGGCACGCTACCAAACCTGATTACAGAAAACAACAGACGAGCTTTCACAAACACCGCAGGCCAAAGTCAAAGCAGCAGCATGTGTTCGGTGGAGAGCGTCTGCGATGGACGTCACGTGAACTTTAACCCAGGAACACACTGTACACCAGCAAATAAAAATAGCACAGAACAACACGTGAACGTACAGCAGACGCAGAGCGACTACTTCAGAGCGCTTGGACCATAAAAACACACCCAAATATCTCATAAATTCAGTGTAACTGCTTGGTAATTTCACTTGGATGAAATGAAACATTCAGCAAATTTTCCACTTGTTCTTAAAATCCCAAATACTTAAAATGAATAGATCAGCCTATGTAGCATATGTAATACTTTAATAATTGACTTAAGAAATACAGTTCTTTATTTATAAAAAATTTATATTTTCTGTGAAATTGTTCACGCTTGCCGCACTCATGCAGCCTGTCTCATAATGCACACCGCAAGTTTTCACGAGCGCATCTGGCAGCATGGAAGAGGCTTGACGCACGCGCAACCTGTGTCGACTCGCGCCTGGCTCCTCGTTAAAAACGAAAGTAAATTCAGTCTAACTGCTTGCTAATTTCACTTGGATGAAATGAAACATTCAGCAAATTTTCCACTTGTTCTTAAAATCCCAAATACTTAAAATGAATAGATCAGCCTATGTAGCATATGTAATACTTTAAGAAATACAGTTCTTTATTTATAAAAAATTTAACTTCAATAATTACCTAAAAAATGAAAACAATGTTTACTTCATTGACAAATACATGAAGGCTTAACTAAAAATTTATATCTAAATTAATTCTGCATAAAAATTATGAAGAAAGTTGAAATGAAATCAGTACTTCACTTCAAAATAATTTATTATTTACTCCAATCAAAAAGGTTATCTTTTCTCTTATAAAAAGCACACACACACACACACACACACACACACACACACACACACACACACACACACACACACACACACCCTCCC